ACAGCCGGGATACAATTCCAGGTCTCCCGACTCTGGCTTTCCATGATGTGCTTTAAAAAAAAAAAAGTATGGGAAGAAGTTAATATCTGTGCATCACTTTTCTTCACAGGGTTTTTATAACTTCAAGAGCATTCACTCATCCATTTCCAAGATCAATACACTTTCCCAGTCCTTTGGACACCTCAGCGAGCAAAGTGAGTGGTGAGCAGCACCCAGTGCCATGGGATCTCCACTGTTTTACAAAGGAAATCCATCAGCAATCAAATGTAGAGTTAAAGTTATCAGGATGCATACAAAGCTCAGATCTCTGCCATCTGAGGCTGGGGAGTAAGGATTTGTGTTTTAAAATAGCTTGGCAAGTAGATTAGGAAAATAATCAATCAACTATTTATAATCTAAAGTTCAGGGCTTTTTTTTTTTCCTCCCTCTCTTTCTCACACACATTATTAAATGAGTAAAAAGTTTGCCATACCTAAATAATCTCTCCCCCCCCAATCCTCTTACTAATGTAGAGGTATCAAGAGGGACAAAATATTGGCATTGCTTTAGGGGGACAGCAGATTCAATGCTACACCCTACCCTGCAGCTTCTGAACCTACAAGAACCTCTCTAGGAGAAGTGGGAAAGTTAGCCTGGGGGGATGATGCCAGTGTATGGGATTCACTAATGGTTTAAGAATGCTGCTTTCTCTAGCAGGCAAGATAAGCAATGAGTTAAAACTGGAGGCACTTGCCCAAGGGGAAAAATAAAGAAGGAAAAGAAAAAAGAAAAGAAACTCAATTTCCCTTCCCCAGCTAAACAAAAACTCTAGGTTTTACACTTCCACGACCTAGATATAGTCAAAGAGATCATACAGAATGTTCCTAGGGAGAAAGAGATCTCAACTCTCAGCTGTTCAGCCAACTTTTCAGCTTAGAAAACATCTTTACAAGGGAAGACTGAACCAGACACAAACAGGTTTATGGGATAGAAGCAGTGAAAGACCTTAAACAGACCTAACTCAGTGCTAGGGAGCCGTGACCACATTGTTCCAACTTCCCATTACTTATTTGTAATAATATATAATCCAGGCCCTTCTCTTAACTCCAGTGCTGTGAATTCCCATTAGAAATATCACTTTTCAGAGAAGAAAAAAGGCAAACACATTTTCCCGTATAGTAAATGATGGGTCATGGAGGGGGAAGTGGGAAAAAGAGGGTCAGAAGGGTCAAGGGGCTTTTTAACTGTTTTACCCAGAGTAACAAAGGTCTCCATACTGCAGAGAGTGAAGGTATGAAACTGACAAGCTGAGCTGAAGTCTATAAATACCTACACTATGAAGAGAGCATGTTTCCAACTCCACCCTGCAAGTTGTATTAAATAATGAATGATGTAAATCAGACTGCCTTATTTATTAACAATTCCAGTGTGGCTTATGTAACCACACTCCAAATTTAAATATACGGTTCTCAAATGCATATAAAACACAATCCAATGTTCTAGAACCTCCCAATGGAAGGGCTGAAAAGTAAATATTGATGCCTTTCACTGAACCTCTGTAAATGCCAGGATTTGTTTTAAGTACAATTAATTGCAGTGGCAAAGCTTATTAAGGGGAGAGGGCCAAAATCAATGTATTAGTGGCATAATGTTACAGCTGCTTAACCAACAGCAACAATAAATTACACAGAGGCTCTGAGAGCAGACACTGAAAATTCTATTCATGTTGTGCTATGAGGAAAAATATTAGACTTGTTTCCAAATATTACCCTCAAATTAGAGAACACCACTGAAGAAATTCAAAAAAGATCCCTTTTGTCTTCTTAAAACATGCGCAATACATAGAAGGCTTCCCCTTCCACAACAACGCTGCAGACGTACTTAACACTCCTGGGCTGTAAACTTCAAAATGATTACCATGGTAAATTTTAGGTTATGGGTTTTTCACTACAGTAAAGAAGAAAATGCATCACTTATTTTGACCCTGGTTTTTCCCAGTTGGGTGAGACAGAGCTTGTCCTTTGCAATGCACTTTGGCATTTGATGCAACTGGGACTTCAATGCCGGTTATATAATTCCAGCAACAGCCTTCACTCTTGAAGTCCATTATATGGGACACTGGTACTGTTTTTAAATCTATTTTAACACTTCTGCGGTATAACCATTCAGAATAGCAGAAGCTGCTACTTAGCCGTGTCATATTGGGCAGGTATCATATATAGCTACAGATGGACAGCTATAGATCCAGATACATCTCATTGTAGGTACACAGTAGTAGATACTATAATGGGAAGTTTTTGTAATAAAACAGGTTCAAACTATGACTCTGAAAACAAAATGTCAGCTTCGCTTCAAATACACGTGGAAAAAACAAAACATATCCTACTCCCTAATTATTACATGTATTTTTGTAAATGTTCTGCCTGCTCTTTCTGTCCTCAGAACCCTATGGGCACAGTGATTTAATATATAGATACTTAAAGATCCACCGCTTTTAAAGGATGTGGTAAACAGTAAACTGTTGCTTCAGCAAGTTCTAATCACCATTTTCTTTCAGTATACCTGTTTTTAAAAAATGGAAACATGTAATGTGAGCTACACACCATTAAACTAGAACTTTAAAACAGGTTATTTAAAGAATGCCACCGGGTCTAATAAGAAAGTAAAACAAAAATGCGTAATTTGGTTCCGACTGTAGCTGGTATCCACTGGCCAAGACTGTAAAAGCCGTTCAAGCAAATATTAGTATGTAAGAAAAAGAACACAGATGGTGTCATCTAAGGATGAGAGTGAAACAAGGGCATCTACTGATGTCATAGTAAGATGAAAAATGCAGAATTGAAAATAATTACATAAAGTGCTTTCCAAACAAGAATGGCGATACATTTTACAGATAAGAATACCAAGGCACAAACTGGCTGGGCTCAAACAAAACTGCGGGAAAGAGCAGAGAAACACACCACCTTGACCAGTATCATTAACCTAATGGCCTGTCCTGAGCACCTAGCTCACCTCTCTACTCCCCATTCTCCCCATCCCAGTGGGTTTTCCAATAAAAAATGGCTGGGGGAGGGGAGAATAGAAATTAGGAGTGCTATGACTGAACAAATAATGTGACAGATGCTTTAGCAAATATTTTAAAAATCCATTTTAAAAAGCCTAGAAATAGGAACTTGCCATCAGACATAAAAGAAGCAACAACAACAATTTTGAGATAGAAAAAAGCTCTGCTCGAATCTATTGATTTCATATGTAACAGGCAGCCACGAGGGTTTGAAATAATTATTTTAATTTAAAGATAGTTTTATTTCTTTTTCTTAGATAATGGTTTTAAAGAGGGAAAATTTAAGTGAAAATGATCATCCCTATCCCATTTATCTCTTCATTGTATGCACCTATCATCTAACGTAGAATTTAAAAACAACTCTCACACAGTGCCTAACTGTAAGAGGCACTCCCTGTGATCTCAAAACGGTCTGAAGAGCTCTGAATTCCACAGGGCCTCCTCCTTCTGACTACTGACTCCTCATCTTGTAAAACAGACAGATTTTTGACAAAAGGCCACAGACACTTTGGACCAGCCTAGTGACCCTGGACCAGCCCAGCTCAAGCCTAGCACAGTCGGAGCCCTACCCACCCTTCCTCTAGGGCTCGGCTCCTGCTTTCCCTGCCAAACCGATTGAGATCCTAGCGTCCTGGCCTCAGCCCGACAGCTGGCTGCACCCAGCACATCTCAGCCCTGCTAGGCCTGCACAGTCCCCTCTGCCCTGGCCTGGCCTTACAACCTGAACATCAGCAGCAGAACAGGCAACAGAGACTAGAAAAGTCTCATACTTACATTAAAAAACAGGTTATCTCGGTCAACTACGTTGGCAGAAACATGGTTGTGCGTTTTCTGTGGGGGGGAGATGCATGCGCACTCGACAACCGGAAGGCCACAGCCCAAGCTCTACTTTGGGGCTGCCTGTCTCAAACACGGGAAGGAAAACTGGGAGAAACTTTGCCTTCCAATCCTCCACAAGGAAGAATAAAAATCTCATGTAAATGAAATGTACGAAGTGACAATGTCCCTAGGAAAAAATAAATAATAATAACACCTGCAATAAAGGTGGCACAGGAATGCTTGGTAATGTATCTCTCACAAGGCATCAGGAGAAGAGGATAGACAGACATTCACAGTCCTGCTTCTCCATTAAACCAGCCCAAACATTTCCAGGGACACAAGGGTCCAGTGCCACAGTTAGCATTCATCAGAGTACTACACACTGCTCTATCATCCAACCTAGTCCCGGGAAATTATTCAATGGGCAATTAAGATTTATAATCCAAATGGCCTCAAAATCATATCTCTGGGAAGTCAAGTCCAAATTAAATCAGACCAGGCTTTTAGGCTTGCAACGATCACATTTTCTCTTTTGAGCGAGTACATTTCAACACTCAGAACTTCTCCTCTTACAGATCATTTTCAAGGCCATCTCTGGATGCAATCTTCTAAGCAAAATCTGATATATAAAATGAAAAGGGAAATTGGTTAACTCCCAACCTCAGAGAAATATGTTAAGAGAGAGACTCTCAGCTGCCTTCAACAGATTTTGGAAAGTTAATTATTTTAATCTCCTTTCTAGTAAGCATTACTGAAACTTGTAACACAACATATATACAGCACTTTATAAAACAAAAACAAAAATATCCAAAACTAAGTTATGGCATATAGGCAAGCCTAAAGCACACCCAGCTGAGCTTTGAAATATAAAAAGCATATCAAATTCCTCTGGACACACACACATTTATTACTGGTATATGCAGTATATGTACAACTTATTTTAAAGTATCCCACTTCTCCCTAGAGTAGCAGCTCCAAGCCAGTAAAACAGGTATCTGACAGCTGGCCCAGCTCTCCATCTCTTCTCCGACTTCTCGCCACACTTGGGACAGCATTCACTCCCAGGATCTACCCACCTGGCCAGCCCAGGCCTGAGGGGCGAGGAGAGAAAGAAGGAGGAAAAGCACCGAGAACTCACATTTCGGTGATGTTCTCAGCGTCTACACTGTTAGGCTCCAGCCTCGGAAATGCCACGATGCCGGCAGAAGGGTCGCTGCACCAGATCCGAGAGGAGCTGCATTTGCAGGACGTGGGGCAGGAGAGGGCGGCCCTCCAGAAGCCCGCAACCAGCCAGCAGAAGCCCCAAAGCCGCGCCATGGCGGGTCCACGCCACCTCGTCCAGGACAACATGCCTAGCCGCCAGCGCCAGCCCGAGTGTCTGTCCCCGCGCTGCACCGGCCGGCTTCCCCCACCTGTGCGGGGAGGCCTTCTCCGAGCTTGCAGCTCTCTGGACTCCTCGTCGCTTGTCGCTGGCGCTCAGAGTCGAGCGTGTCCGAAGTACAGCCGGTCCCGGGCGGAGAGTGTTCGGGCGGGCTGCAGAGTTCACAGCGGTAGGGGCATCGCGGGCCGCTTCACAGGGGGCGCTACCGCCGCTGCGAGCTACGTGGTGGCCGTGGCTGCATGGCCTGGAGCGCCGGGTGCCACCCGGGACTCTCTGGGGCACAGGCTCCTTACTACAAGCGCACAGGGATCCGGTATGCACCACGAGGCTGAGGACAAACAGACAAGCATAAGACTGTGCTCAGGACCCCAAATACCACTAATTGGGCCACTCTCCCTCCTCACTCGCCTCACCCCTACCCGATCCCGGTAGCGAGACTGTGGATGGTTAAGCGCCCAGTTCCGGCGCAGGAATCAACTTGCCCCGTGATGGCACAGACGGCCCTAGAGCCACCAGTGTGCCCGCTCTCTCTATCTTCAAGCCCGAGGCCAAGGGAGAGGAGGTAGGAAAAGGGTCCCCGAGACAGGATTCCATGACACATGCTGGGCGGAGGACCCTTTTTAAAGGGGGATGCGGAGACTGCTGGCTGCCAGGGCTTCGCGACGGGGCCGCCGAATGATGCTGCAGAATCCGCCACGGCCGCTGGGTGCTGGGGGCGCGGGCAGGTGGCGCGGCACGTCCCACCTGGGGAGCAGCCGCGGCTGCCCCAGGGGGGACAGTGAGGGCCGAGGCAACCGAGGGTACTGTCTGCGCTGCTCACCCGGGCTCCGGCGCCTCACGCCCGCCGGCGGCGCCTGGGTCCAGGCTCCTGCTGCCGCCGGGGACCGAGCACGGAGAGCGCGAGCGAAGGAGCGAGCGAGGCTCCGGCTCCAACCCAATTCCGGGAGCCGCCGCCGCCGCCTCTGCTACTGCTGGCGAAGTGACGTGAGGGCTGACGCAGAGCAGGGGCAGAAACTCCAGAAAATTAGTCTGAAATCCAAAAACACACACGCTCATACACACACAAACCCATAACACCCTCCAGACAAAAGCAACAGGGAGGGGAGGGGAGTGTGGGGGCGAGTGGGGAGGAGGGAGGCATCGGTGCCACTGGCCAGCAGCAGACAGCAGCAGCATGTGGGAGTTCACACACGCGCGCACACACGCACACATCCTGGCCGTGTAGACACGAGCGCGCGTGCGTGTGTGTGTGTGTGCGTGTGTGTGTGCATTTAGACCCAAGTACCTCTGAGATGAAGCGTTCCACTGCTTGACGCCTCCTGGTCCCTAATTCACACCACCGTCTCTTCTACGGTCGCAGTAGAGGCTGTCTCCCTTTTTGAAATGGAAACCCGGCTTGGTTCAGCTCTGAAAAATGCGCTGATTCTTATTATAGGAATCTTCCCTCCCTTACCCTCCCCTCTTCATTCTCCTTTCCCACCCTGCCTAAAAGGGAAGGCAAGCTATCCTAAAAAATATATAAATATTGTAAACACCAAAACGTGTTCTGCATTGGTAGCCAAGGATCAACGCCCCCCAATCGGGGCCACCTATTTGAGGGATCAGTGATTTTGAAGGGTCTGCCTGTTGGTGCTTTTGCAGAGTAAAGGGAGTCTCCAAACACACTGTAGCTCTCTAAATGGGTCTTTTTCCTGCTGTTTTTGCCATCACACGCCAGGAAAATAGAGACATGTGAGAGGAAGGGAGAGCGCTGACGCGTATTGGGTTCTCTAAATGCGCGGCAGCAACCCGGCCCTGTCCTATGTGTGGCGCCGCATCGTTTTCTCTCATTCTTTTTAACCTGGTAGGATGCAGCCATTCCCAGATCATAGCTTCACTCCCCGCGATGCCCACCCCCACGCGGGGCACCCCGAGCCCTTGCTCCCGTGCCGTACCTTGCGCGTATTCATGTGTGCGCGGTTGTGCGCAAACGCGTGCCCTGCGCCCGCGGTGCCCGGAGCACGTTATGCATCCAGCTACCAAGAAACCCGGCGCGGGCAGAGCCTCAGGGTCTCACTAGGGACAAATGAGGCGATCCGGGAGGGTCGGGTGACAAACCGTAACTGCTCTGCGGGCGCAGTTAAATGATGGCTGCGGGGCATTCGCAAGCCTTGTCTGAGAATCCGTCTTCCCATTTGCGGCTCGAAGAGTCTGTTTTTCCGCAGTCATTTAAAAGGGAACTGGGAAAATGCGCCGCAGTGCCTGACACTTCCGAGGGCTCTGGTGCCCCCGCGCGGGCAGAGAGAGCCCGGCACGCTCCAGAGCACCAGCCCACCGCCGCGGTCGCCGCGGGCACTGCGCTGGGGGCGCGCTCTGGCGCCAGATGTGCAACCAGCGGCGCCCGACGCGTGCGCGTCCCTGCCCAGCGGGTGAGCTGCTCTCCTGACCTCACCGAGCTCCAGCTGGGGAAAAGGAGTGCCTGGAGATCCTCGGCTTGAGAGAGGGCTGGATTCTTGGTCCCGAATATAATAATGGTTACCGATCTGCCCGCTGAGTCTGAGGAAGGGAAGGATCGGATCGAGAAACTGAACGTCAGCGTGAATGCTCGGATTTAGGCTACGCCTTAAGTAATACAAAACGTAAAGCCTATCAGTGGATCTTTCGTACACATCCCAGGCACAGAGTGCAACCTCGAGATCCCTCAGGCAGCACCAAAAATCTTGCTTACAGGCCCCGAAAGCAAGGCCAGCAAGCAGGTCGGCCTCACCCCTTTCACTAGGCTGTGACACAAACTGGGCAGGCTGAAGTTCGTTCCTTGGCTTGGCCTCCATCCTCCGCGGGGAGAGAACAAGGGAAGCCAAGCTCAAAAATGTCTTGCCCAGAACATACAGTGAAACTCTGCCTGTCTTGCTAGTGTCCTTTAAGTGGAGGAGCCCCTGGGGAACGCTTGGGGGAAAGCGGTGTGCATAATTAACCCGCATTGCTCTCACACTCCCCCAGGCTCACCCCATTTTTCTCAGAAATGGCCCATTTGCGCCCTAGTGGCTGCGGAGTGTCAATGCAGTGTGCAGAGAGAATCTGGCAGTTTTAGGGTGGTTTGCAGACCAGAAGATTCTAATTATGTTGGACTAGTTGTAGAATTTGTATTCGAATAAATATACACTACTATTACATTTAGATTCTAAATATAAACCCTGAATATATCCCACTTAAAATTAGAACTGGCGGCCAAACCTCTAATCTCCTCCCCCCGACCCCCACCCCTGCTCTACTTTTGTATCCACAGTAGTTTGTCCTTTTAACAGGTCATTTACTTACTATCTTTAATTTTTTAAATTTCTCCCAGTAGAATGTAAAATCCATGAAAGCGTGGGGAGGGGGGAGGTTATCTATTCTGTTCACTGATGTATCTCAAGCACATAGTAGGTGTTAGAATGTGTGAATGAATAAATGAAATAAACCAAAGTTGAGATCTCACTTCCTTAACCTCTAACCTTGCATGTCTGCCTGAATAAATCCTCTCACCTTCACAATCCTGATTGTTTCCTGTGCTCTGAGAGCTCTTAGAACTTCTTGAAGCCTTACTTTCTGTCTCCTCTAGTAGCCAGATGTGTCCCAGCACTGAGCCAGCAAGGGGACCTTTCTCATTCATGCTAGTAACTCAAGCTACCATGTGTGGTGTCTAGAACATACTGGCAATCAATAACCAATTCTGTCTTAACTTATGGAATTGTGGCACTATCTCGATGTTAAGACCTACAAGGTATTTACCAAAGACCATTTCAGAGAGTTTTAGACCATGGCTTTGTAAGAAATGATGGACATTATTCAGACAGACAATATCAAGTAAAGATGAATTTTCTCCAGATCCCTTGAATGCAGGGGTAGAAACTAACTGTCACAGCCTCTTGCCTATACTTAACAATAATGCACCAGAGCATTGTTTCCCAAACTATTTTGACCATGATGCACAGTAGGAAATGCCTTTTCTATCACAGCCCAGTGCACACATACACAAATGCATATACTAATTTTAAAAAAAAGTTTCACAAAACTTATTTACCCCTAATACATGGAGTACACTACTATTTTCTATTCTATACTATTTGATTTTAATACTTGTAACAACTCAATGAATTGATTTTAGAATCCAATACTAAGTTAAAAAGAACAGCAAAAAAAAATCTGTAATTCTTCCAACTAAGATGCAGTAATAGGGAATAAATTAGTCTCCTAATCAAACAATCGACACTGAGCAAAATGTATGAAACAAAGTCTCATTTGTTTGTTTTTAAGATTGATATAAGGGTGCTAATGTTTAGGCTACATTGTTTTTCCTTCCAAGGTAAAGTTCATTGTTGAACCCTTTACCCAGGGGGTGTGCTGTATACCCACCCCAACATTGTGCACATTAGGTGAGGATTTGCCAGTCACCCTCCCACATCCCTTCTCCCCTTCCCTTCCTCCACCTTCCCCCTCACGAGAATATACTCGTGTTTTTCCTTCTGTGTAGGCATGGAAACAATCGTTTTTAAGACAATGAATATAAAATGATGTAGGCCATGGTTGAAGGAGAAGCAGCCCAGGGAGAGCCCACCTCCCTAAGTCGAGAAGGCATTAGCTTAAGAGAGACCAAAGGGAGCAGCATTCACAAGACTGAGTAGCAAGGAACAGAGTATCGCACAGAGAGGGAACTCAGGAGAGCTGCAGAGTGTCCCTCTCAATTATTCAGCAGAGACTGATTAACACATGCAGTTGATGAAACTACCTGAGTCCAGGGAAAGAAGCACTAGAAAGATTAAAGGGAACAGGATCAAAGAGAAAGTCAAAAGGGAAATTGAAAACACAACATATCAGAATTTCTAGGATGTCACTAAAGCAGGATTTGGGGGGCAATTTTATAGCACTAAATCTCTGAAGAAAGATCTCTAACCAATCATTTCAGCTTCCACCTTAAAAAAACCAGGAAAAGGACAGCAAAATGAACACCAAGGAAGCAGAACAGAAATACTACAGACTAGAGCAAAAAATTGTTAACTAGAAAACAGGAAAACAATAGAGAAAATTGATGAAACCAAGAAACGTTCTTTTCGGAACATCAATAAAATTCATAAACAGCTCCTCTGACTAATCAGGATTAGAAGAGACAAGACACAAATTACCAATGACAGGAATGAGAGCAATGAAAACACTAGGTATATCTACAGAATTAGAGACATTAAAGAAATACTAAGGGTATACTGCGAACAACTTCATGCAAATAAATTTGACAACTTAAATGAAATGAGCTTAAATTCCATGATAGACACAAGTCAAAAAAGCTCACTACCAAAGAACTAGATTACCTGAACAATCTGGTATCTATTACAGATACTGAATTTAGGATTAAAAAGCTTCCCACAAAGGAAACTCCAGGTCCACACGGCTTCACTGGTGAATTCTGCAACACAATTAAGGAAAATAATACCAAGTCTACACATACTCTTCCAGAAAAATGAAGAGGACTGAATATTTTCTAACTCATTCTGTGAGGCCAACATTGCCTTGATACCCAAATCAGACAGACATTATAAGAAAAGAAAATAGACCAATATTTCTTATGAATATAAATACTAAAGAGCTAAACAAACTTTCAATAAAATGAATTTGACAAGACATTACACATCCAAAATCATCATGACCGAGTGAGATTTGTCACAGGAATACCTTGAATTCATGAAGGTGAGAGTGAGGGTTACCAGAAGCTAAGAAGTGTGGCAGGAAGAAAGTTTGGTGAATGGACTACAGTCAACAATAATTTATTCTGTATTTAAAAATAGCTAGATTTAAAATTATTCCAACACAAAGAAATGATAAATATTTGAGGTGACACATACCCTAAACACCCTGATTTAATCATTATACATTATACATAGTATGCCATGTATCAAAATATCTTCAGGGGCAATGACA